TCTGAGTCTACCACCGTGGGTGGCAAGGACCAACACATGCATGGGTCATCCTCTGCTACCTTCCAGGATGTGCATAAGGAAGAAGACAGGTGGGAAACAGGGCATCCAGAACTCGAGCCAGACCCTCTGATAGGGATGCAAGATTCCCAACCAGTGACCTAAGCTGCTGCAACACATGTCTGCCCCATATTCTCTTTTTTTAAATGAGTATCAACTGTACATGAGAGTAATCCAATAACTAATTAGAACATTCTAGAGAAGTGATAGAATATGACCATTCTGCAAACCGCTAATAAAGTTACTGAGCTAAAAAATGATCAGTGGAGACCAGCGTGGTAGCCTAGCAGCTAAAGTCCTCGCCTTCCACACACCAGGATCCCATATGTGCTATGGTTCTAATCCCAGAAGCCCTGCTTCCCATCCAGCTTCGAGCTTGTGGCCTGGGAGAGCAGTAGAGAACAGCCCAAAGACTTGAGACTCTGCACCCACTTGGGAGACCTGGAAGAAGCTCCTGGCTCCTGGCTTCAGATCGGCACAGTTCTGGCCATTGCGGCCACTTGGGGAGTGAGTGATCGGATGGAAGATCTTCCTCTGTTTTGCCTCCTCTTTGTATATCCAACTTTGCAATTTTAAAAAAATCTTTAAAATAAAAGATCAATGGCTGTTAACACTACAAGCAAAATTAACAATCAGATATATGGTTTTTGGTTTTTAGCAGGAATAGGTTACACCACCTATGAGACACCTATCCTACTGTTTCTACTCCAAATCGAAACTGAATTTAATCAACTTTAATCTTTTTTTTTTTAATTGAAAAGTCAGTTATACAGAGAGGAGGAGAGACAGAGAGGAAGATCTTCCATCCGACGTAACGGCCAATGCTATGCCAAAGCCAGGATCCAGGAACTTCTTCCAGGTCTCCCGTGCAAGTGCAGGGTCCCAAAGCTTTGGACTGTCCTTGACTGCTTTTCCAGGCCACAAGCAGGGAGCTGGATGGGAAGTGGAGGCACCAGGATTAGAACCCACGCCCATATGGGATCCCGGCGTGTTCAAGGCAAGGAATTTAGCCACTAGGCCACGACACCGGGCCCCTAATCAGCTTTAATCTTACTGGCTACAGCATGTGAAAGAGAGAGGAGACAGGCATTTTGGGCACCTGAGTTTCACACCAGAGTGCGTGAGTTTGTGTCACAGTTGCCATATCTAATGCCAGCTTCCTGATAATGCACATTCTGGCAAACAGAAGGTGACGGCTCAGGTATATACCGCATCTCTTTTATTACCTACATTGTAGGTGGCTCAGTAAAAAACGGTTACTGACAACTTACTATCATCCCCATCTTGGACCATTTCCAACTTTGCTAAAAATGGTTTGGAAAATTCAGAAATGTGAGGCAGGAATTTAACCTATTGTTTAAGATGTTCACAATCTGTATCGCAGCACCCCAGTTTAATAGTAGCCTCTAGCTCCTGACGACAACTTCCCTTTACAGCAGATTCTGAAAAACAGTGACAATAGCTTGAGTAATTGGATTCCTGTCGCCTACAAGAGAGACTTGGATTGAGTTCCTGGCACAAGCTACTGACTGGCCTGGCCCCAGTCCTGGGCAGCCACTGTAGACGTTTAGGAAACGATCAGGGATGTGAGCTTATTCTTACTCTCTCAAATAAGTAACTTTTTCAAAGTCTCAGAAATGAGGAATTTTTTTCTCTATCTAAACTTACCCATATCCAGCATAAAAACAGAAATATCAAGTTGAGAACTTCAAAATATTTAGCACGTCAGCTGGTGTATCGATATGTGTGCTTTGGAAAGCAAGGACACAAAAATTAACATGGTAACATGGTCTTTCTTTTTCTTTCCTAACTCAATGGGTTTACACTTTATTTAAACATGTCCCAGTTTCAATGAAAGCGCTTAATTAGAGTCCTCTCTACATAAGAGATATTCAATTTTTTGATTATGAATAATCCAATTTAAAGTAGCCTGGAGTGTTTGGCACAGCAGCTAAGACTTTGCTTAAAACCTCCATATCCCATAACGCATAAACAAGTGCTTGAGTTTGAGTCCCAGCTACATTTCCAATTGCAGCCTCTTGACAATGCACATCTGGGAGACAGCAGTTGACACAGCTCAAGTAGTGGAATATCCACTGCCTGATTGAGTTTCAGACTTCTGGATTGAGTTTCAGGTTTCTTGTGTCAGCCTGGCCCACTCCCACATGTGAGCATTTAGGGAGTCAATCAACAAAGGAAGATCTCTACTTTCCAAATAAAATGAAAATTAATACATCATATAGTTCAGAATCTGCATTTCTCTCATCCTTGGCATCTCTAGCTTACTGTCATAAACCATTCCGTTTCAAGGACTCGTTTTAACTCAACAAGCATCAGTGGAGGAAAGGACTCTAGGTGGGCTCAAAAGTCTGCGCCTCCCGAAGAGGCTACATCCAGGAAATCATCTTTCAATGGTTTCTTATTTAGTCTCACACTGAACACTCCTGAATGTACCAGGATTGTCTACTCCAATTACTTCTTCCTGGTAAAAGCTGGCACATGTATTCAAAGTTCCTGGATCAGCAGAGGGACAGAAGTGTGAAAGTGGAAGTGCCACTAGCAGTTTTGACCATGTTATATTGTCTAAGGAGCTTTTGTGTCCTTTGCTACTACAGGAGTTTTACACCCTTGTACTTATTATCTGATGAATTTGTCAGTGGCATCGGCATCCTGATATTTCAACAAGGCAATAACCAGCCACCCACAACATTACATTAAGTCACTAGAGCCTTCTCCAAAAACTATTTCCCACTTAGATGATCTCCTCAGAAAGTCTTAAACTCAAAAGATTGCAACAAATATCACATTACAAAAAAAAAAAAACAAAAAAAACAAAAACCTCTTTGGGGTTGGTTATCAGAGAGAGCCCACCAGGATAATACAACTAAGGATACAAGTTCATTTGAAGTTAATATATCATCTTGTTAGTATGTCTCTCTAGATAAAGTCCAATTGGAGATGAAATTAGCATTTGTGCTTCAGCTACTCTGAACTATCCATTATGTGAATCTCTTTCCTACCCTGTGAGGTATTTTCACAATTATTGTCTTTTCACAAACGAAGGAAAACAAGGCTCAGGAATGTTAAGAAGACTGACCAAAGCTTGTTTTGTAAAAGTTCCTTCTTTTCCTTTCTTCCTTCTTTTCTTTCTCTCTCTCTGCCCTGCTTCTCTCCTTCCTTTTCTCTCTCTCTCTGTCTCTCACTCTCCACTTTCTGCATACGTATACAGAGACGGAGGACGAAGATCTTCCATCCGTAGGTTCACTCCTTAATGACTACAGCGTCCCAAGCTAGACAAGTTCAAAGCCAGAACCCTAGGATTCCCTCGAGATCTCTGTGGGTACAGAGCCCAGGGACTTGACCCATCTTCTTGCTGCCTTCCCAGGTGCATTGACAGGGAACCAGATTTGAAGTGGAGCTATCAGAACTTAAACTAGCCCTGATATATTAGTGTCGTTGTGGCCACTTGGGGTATGAATTGCTTCCTCTGTAAATCTGACTTTTTCCAGTAAAAAAAAAAATCTCAAAAAAAAAACATAAAGCAAGTCAGTACAAAGATCTTAAGGACTAGTTTCTTAAACCCTATTTGCTTTCCAAAGGAATTACAAATTATAATAATAGAAATAATTCTATTTCTAGTTCAATTTTTTGAGAAAGTCAGTAACTTCAGTACATAACAAAAGCTATTATGTTTAAAACCAACTCACTAAACTAATTCTCATTTTCATATATCCTAATATAGAGTCTATGCTAAATTTGCCTCTTTACCAGGCAGACCTTGTATTGTTAAAGGCAGAGCAGAAAAACTCCTTGTTCAATCTCAATAGCATTTTCAAATATTTTTGCATATAAGCTGCTACCTCAATGTTTCAAAATAAATGTAAAACACTCTTATACAAATTCCCTAGACTGAAGGCTTTAACTTCAGAGCAATGAGCCTTTGAATTTTATTCTCAAAAGCAGCATTCTAAAGCACGCATGTTTCCATTTGCTGAAAGCACTGTAAAAATGGATTAAAGTACAAACCATTCTACCATATCATAAAATTACACTGATAGGAAGATGAGATGTAAACAGCGTAAGTTATCACTTATAGAATGCTTACTATGTATCAAGTACATATGCTCGTGCTTTCATTTTGTACTTGCAAAACCCTGTGTGATTACTGGCTCTACTTTACAAGCAAAGAAACTACAGTGAAAAAGTTTACATAACTTGTCCAGAGTAAGACAGCTTCTGCTGGAGCTGGAATTGAAACCCAGGCTGTTCAGCTCTCAAATGTGTGCTCCATACAATCAATGCTTACTGCCTTCTAGTTCCTACATATGCACACACACACACACACACACACACATACTTCAGGCACAGAATGTATATACAGGCACAGGATAATTCTTTGGGAGTTATTATTCATAAGTTGATATGAACACAAGACAACCAGGAAGTCATCCTAAGTATTCAAGAAAATTCACATAGTACAAGCTTAAAGGTTGAAGAAAAAACTCATTTTTTAAAACACATATTTAGAACTCAATAAAATAATTGATTCATATTATTTTATCTACTAGGCAAAAAAAACCCAGGAGATATTTAATTTCTGAATGACCAATCTCTTACATTTCAGTGCTTAAATTTTTGCTTTGTAAGAGTATCTAAACAAGGAATATTTTACACCTATTTCTCCCCCTCCACATCCTCTTCATCCCTACCAGTGGTCCACATGCGTCTGCAATCCCCATCCCTTCACCTCTATAATGAAAATTAAGAAGTCAAATAAAAAATAAATGCAGCATTCCCCAAATAAGAATCCTTCATCTATTAAAGCATGAAGCAAAACATACAAATTTTAAGTGTAAGTTAAAGTAATATTCTTTTACAGTTATTTATCAAAGCAAAATAAGAGCCATTATTGAAGATGTATCGAAGAAGAGATGAAGCCTTACCTCCATTGCTAAAGCTGCTGTTTGTTGGTCATAATGATTCAGAAGATTAGGCATGAAGGTAGTATTATAAGGCAAATCTTGGCACATCCTCAAGGTAATAGGTTCACAAGAAAACAAACTGTGTCCATTTATATGCCCCACAAACATGGTCAAGGGCCAAAGACAGAAGACGATCCAACGAAAAGCCATCTTTGCTCGATCTGAGTGAGATTTTGGATGATCAGCCTACTCAACACAAATTTTAGATCTTTATGCACCTGCAGGTCTCAGCCTGAAAATACTTCTTCTAATATCTCGCTGTAAAGTTCTTCAACAGTTAAATACTCGTGCACCGTCAGAGATTTGTTAGCTTTATCTCACAAAAGGCATTTGTTGTTGGTTTCACAATCTGGGAAAATGACATCATCTTGTCTCTTCTTTTCATTTTATTACATAGGGCACATCTGATCAACATATCAAGTTCATCAACCACATTCCCATACTACAGATTCCATCTTAGGAGAAGAGCTATTTCTTCCTTTGACTGGATTATCTGAAAGAGATTATTTTGAAAATAGGAGAAATTAGTCATTTATTATCAAAATATTATGAAATAGGCATTAAAATCTTTGATAAGAAATATCATACTGATCTAAAACTAAATACATGGACATATCATTGAGACATAGTTTTCCTGTTTATTATTTATTCTCTAGATATACTGAAGGAATCCTTAAACTGCATTAAAATTTGATTAATGTAAAAATTTCATATTTTTGTGAGGTACAATAGAATATTTCAACAAATAACATTGTGAACTAATAAAATCAGGGAGTCAACACATTTATTTCTTTATGTTTGGAGCCTTCTGGTCCCACTTACACAGCCTATAAAAATTTTTAATTTTCTTTCCCTAGTTTCTTAAGTAACACATGGCTTATCTTCTTGTCTATGGTAACAACTCTTCATTCGTCACAAATTATATCTGGCCCATTCTAAACGAGTTATTGGTCTAAAATTTATTTAAATAGCATAACCCAAGACATCAAACTTAAAATGTATGGCATGTGATTTAATCATTGATGCTATAATCAGCACTAGCTGACTTGGCAGAAGGCATCTGCCAAAGAAAGTTACAGATTCAAGCCTCTTATTACAAGTTATGCGATGGTAAACATATATCACTTTACTTCTGTAAACCAAAATTTTTCTTCTTGAATATTCCAATGCTACCTCTAATAAGGAGGATGAATGAATGAATTATGAAATAATATATTCAAAAGTACTTTATAAATGCTGAAGCAGTATCAAACATTAAGTAGTTTTATTACAGAATTAGAAGTGGTGACTTTACTAACCATTACAGGGAGTGACAAACAGAAGGTTCTGAAAATATAGCTGAATTTTTTTTTAATACTACACCATCTTTTTAGATAGTACAAAAAAATTAATACTGTAGACATAGCCCTTGAATCAGAAACATTTAGCCAACAGAGAGCCATTACACATAGCTAGGCTGCTCAGAGAATCATAACATTTCTAGAAAGCCACAACAGTAATAGGAATGATTACTTGTTATTTCCACAAGTTTCAGAATCTCGGGCTTTCTAGGGGCAAAAACACATGTGATTCTCAATCACATGTGATTCTCAGTATGTGTGCAACAGAAGGCAGGTCTAGTATTAAAAAAAAGCATAATCTCAGCTATCATAGCGATTTGATTTAGTAATGATATTAACTTTGCTTCTATTTCATTTTTCCACATGTATTAGATATTCCTATGTGTGCTGTGAAGGGTCCAGGTTGCCAAAAGGTAAGAAATCCAGGTTCAGAGATTCTCAGATCATGATGATAGCATAGTTTTTCATGAGGAGTTATAATTCTATCAGTCTGTTATTTATGTGTGCCCCAACACTGACAATATGGGAAAAACAAATAAATTTTCAGAGATCCAGATTAACAGGACAACTCCGATACTAGCACCCAAGACAGCTGAGACCTTGAGATCTGATTTGGATTAAGCAAGAAAAGAAACTGTCCTTCCATTTCTGGATGATATCAATGATTGAGACCTCTGCACTCCATGTTTCATTCATTACGCAGAAAACCATTTAGAAGAAGTAAAATCTGACCAAAATTTACCAATCTATCCCTCTTATAGATGGTCTTGAATGGCAGAATGGAAAATGGAAGTCTAGAATTAGAAACAATAAGATTTGTGACAGCTTCTTGGTCTGCCATATTTTTCCCCATTTAGGTTAGTCCCACAAATGTTGACGTCTAGCGACAGAAACCGATATCAACCACAGTTAAAAACCTATTAAGCTAACTACCATGCAGCATGGTAACAATTATGCATATCATTAAACATGTGTCAAGTAACTGTTAAAAGCTTTCTTTGATTATAGTGCTAAGATATCCAGGTAAGTTCAGTCTTTGTAGTTTATTGCTTATATAACATGTTCATCTGCTTGCAACTAAAATAATTAAAGGGAACCCTGCTCTCAAATGGATATGTATTTAATAATACCAAGGTTTCCAAAAATTTCATTTAGACTAATCTGTTTTTGAAGTACTTAGGCAGCTTCAAACTTATGGTCCAAAGACTACTACCATATGGAATTTGAAGAAGTAACCGAGCAACACCTCCCTTGGTTTAAAAACTTGAAAGGCTCTTCTTTTCCTTGTAGGTGATCTCAGGTGATCTGTGAAAATGGGGTTCACTAATCACTTCATTCAGAAAATCCCAGGGAATCATGCAATCAAGAGGTTCAAATCTTTATATTCACTTTACGAGTGTGCAAGAAACTTCTAGGCCAACAAGGGAATACATATGTGAAAAGCCAGTAAGTATTTGAAAGACTGCATAAGAAGCAATCTGTAACACTCTCTTGCTAAAATAATGCACTCAGAGAATTCATGGCAGGACTAACAGGCGCTTCCTGTGCTACACTGAGATGGTTCTTACTGAAAAGAAACAACAAACTGTTTCCAAACCAGAAGTGGCAGCACAGATGAAAAAGATCTCCCAGAAGAAATGGAAGAAAAACCTGTGGATCAGGAATAAATTCAGCATAGAATCAAAGCATCTTGAAAGCTAATAATTTATTATAACAGAAATCTGATAAAACTCTTCTTCTACTTCCTGCCTACTCCCATCTATTTTTCATGATTTTCTATTAAATATTCCTTTTGGCTTTGTTTGCAAAGGATGCTTTCCATCTGTAAGATAAAGGTTTTTCTTTACAGACTATAACATCCAAAATTCCATATATCAAAACATTTTGCAAAATCTATCAACAGCAGAAAGACAATAATCTTAAAATGGTAAAACACTGACTTACAATTACTCACATGGAGAAGAAAATGGGGCTGGTGTTGTGCAATGGATAAATCTTCCACCTGTACTGCCAGCATCCCACAAGGGTACTAGTTTGTGTCCTGGCTGCTCCACTCACCAGTCAGCTCTCTGCTAATGCCTTGGGAAAAGCAGCAGAGTATGTCCCAAGTTCTTGGGCCCCTGCCACATGGGAGACACAATGAAGCTCCTGACCCCTCACTTTAGCTTGGCCCAGGCCAGGCCATTGAGGCCATCTGGGAAGTGAACCAGCATATAGAAGATCTCTCTCTCTTACTTTCAAGTAAACAAATGAATCTTTAAAAAACAGTGAGGTGAGGGTGAGGGTTTTTTTTTTTTTATATGTATACCATTCTCTACACCTACAATGTTAGGATACACTTAAATAAGAGAATGATGGACTTGTGACTATTGTTGAAAGCAACTATTATTACAATATGGGGGGGGGGACAATTGGGGAAGTGCAGAGGAGGAGGGGAAGAAGGGGAAATCACTAAGCCTAAGTAATTGTGCAATGAAAAATTAAAAAGGGCAGGGGGGCAATGAGAAGAGCTTATGGAATTTCATATTCCCTAAAACAGTGCTCTAATTTTTTTTAAAGATTTATTTATCTTTATTGCAAAGTCAGATATACAGAGAGGAGGAGAGACAGAAAGATCTTCCGTCTGATGATTCACTCCCCAAGTGACCGCAACGGCTGATGCTATGCCGATCCGAAGCCAGGATCCAGGAACTTCTTCCAGGTCTCCCACACGGGTGCAGGATCCCAAAGCTTTGGGCCATCCTCCACTGCTTTCCCAGGCCACAAGCAGGGAGCTGGATGGGAAGTGGAGCTGCTGGGATTAGAACCTGTGCCCATATGGGATCCTGGCACGTTCAAGGCGAGGACTTTAGCAGCTAGGCCACACCGCCGGGCCCAACAGTGCTCTAATTTTGAAGTACAGCAGATGCATGAATCCGCTACCACAGGTCTACAAAAGCCGAATCCTGAAGAATGACACGCATTCTGATGAGTACCTCAGGTTACAAGTATTTGTTATTCAGGTCTGAGAAATGCTATTCTGAAACAGAATAATTAGAAAGAGCCAAGATATACTGTGCATAATATATGACAAAAGAATTTTTACAGTAAGAGCACAAAAGAAATATCTTTAAAAAATCAAAACAAACAAAAAAGCAACGGGCCCAGCACGGTGGCCTAGTAGCTAAGGTCCTCTCCTTGCATACCCTGTGATCCCATATGGGTGCTAGTTCTAATCCAGGGGGCACCACTTCCCTTGCAGCTCCCTGCTTGCGGCCTGGGAAAACAGTTGAGAACAGCCCCAAACCTTGGGACCCTGCACCCGCATGGGAGACCAAGAAGGGGTTCTGGGCTCCTGGCTTCCAATCAGCACAGTTCCAGCTGTTGCAGTCATTTGGGGAGTGAATCATCAGACAGAAGATCTTCATCTCTGTCTCTCCTCTTTGTATACCTGACTTTGCAATAAAAATAAATCTTTTTAAAAAATACAAATAGCCAGTAAGCACATAAGAACATATTTAACTCTATCACTAACAATGAATGTAAATATGCAATGACATTTTTACCAACTAGTTGGGCAAAAATAATGATGGAAAACAGTATAGGAATGGGTTGGGGAAAAAGAACAAAATCAACATTTTCAGATACTTCGTGTAGAAATGTAAACTAGATAATACTTTTAAAGAACAGTTACTTATACCACAAGCCCTTAAAATATCTACAACTGGATTCAGCAGGCCCACTTTATAACTTTTTTAAGACGGCAAACACAGGTACACATGATGCATAATCAAACTCTCAGTATTATTTGCAAAAATAAGAAAACTGGGCTATGAGCCTTAACAGAATGCTGCAGTCTGAGCCTCAGCTCCTCACTTCTGATGCAGCTCCCTGCTAATATGCTTGGCAAGGCTGGGATGACGGCCTCAGTACTTAGGCACTTGCCACACAAGCAAAACCAAGATGGAGTTAGGGCTCCTGGCTTTGGCCTGGCCCAACCTTAGATGTTGCAGGCATTTGGAAAGTGAACCATCAGATGGATGCTCTCTCTCACTGTTTTTCTGCCTTTCAAATAAATAACTAAAAACAATCTAAAAGCCTATCAATAAGGGACAACTACATGATGGAATATTATATAGTCACCAAAAATAACGATCAGGAACCTATAGTGGCAGGCTATGACAATAATGATATAATTAGTAGATACAAAATTCTAAAAGCTTATAGGGCATTATAAAACAGCAAATACTGGCATCATCCCACAAGGATGCTGCTTTATGTTCTGGTACTTCTACTTCTGCTCCAGCTCCTTGCTAATGGACAGAGACAAGCAGTGGAGGGAGACAAGGTTTTGGGCCTCGGCCACCTCTGGGGGAGACGCAGCTGAAGCTCCTGACTGTCAGGTTTGGCTTGGCTCAGCCTGCTACAGCCATCTAGCAAGTGACCCACCGGAGAGATTTCTCTAATTCTCCCTTCCAAATAAATAAATCTTAAAATGTTTCTAAACATATATGCTTGCACCCCCATTTTTTGAAAATTATTTCCTCAGTGTTTTGAAAAACTGATATACACAGAATAAAAACATCTTAATTTGTTTAAAGATGAAATGTTATAAGTGCTTTATATAATTTTACAGAAACTTTGTTATTTTATGTATAGAAAAATTAACTAAAGCTATAGATGTATACTGCCTAGATAGATGACAGGAATAATATACTTAGTAAGATAAGCCAGTATCATAAAAATAAATATCCTATTTTTTTTCTTTGTGTGGTAGCTTATATAGAACACAAAACAGAAAAAGTATGGGAATGAAATGGTCATTTTGAAATATGATTGCCATTTTAGCTTGTATTTATACTCCAATGGAAACACAGTCTCCCTACTTTTTAGTTGTTGGATATCATGAGTAGTGGCTAATTGAGCACGTGAATACAGAGCAGATTAATGCCAGAGTCTTCGCAAAAACTGCTCAGGAGGAGAAGGGAGGGCAGGGTATTGGGAGTGAGCAAGCGAACGAGGGAGGTGTGCAGGCTTCTTGGAACTGAACCTAGGGAACACATAAAATCTCTCACCTTTATATCAATAAAAAATTTCTAAAGATGACTGGTTTATGGCTACTAACTAAGCAACAAGCAAAGACACACACTAACAAGAAAAAAAATGATCAAAATTTAGTAGAAGTAAAAAACTGATTTCAACACTGAAAAAAAATCTGAATCAAGAGTTACACATTTTTAAAAGCTTTTAAAACATATTTCAAATCACTCTTCATTAACAAAATATCTGCTTCTCCAGATTCATTTATCTGTATCTCTTCACTAAAGAACTGTGGAAAAACTCAAAGTTCTAGGACATAAATAAGAATCTGGAACTACAGAAATTCTGCCAAAGGCAGCAATTCACTAAAGAACATTTGCGTTGGCATTCTTACCGACACTATCACTATATTCTATTTTAAGAATACACAGTATTCAACTCAAAGAAACCTATGGGTTAACATAACTAGAATGGACAACTTCAGGGACCAGGAGCCAGCTCAGTGTAAATGCTATGGCCACAACTCTTCATGAATTATCTGTGGGAAAAGAATAATTCACTTCACAGAACAATACAAACATTTGGAAATTGATTTCACACTAACCCATGAAGTCCCAACTTGACAATTCTGCAAAATTTCAGGACATAAGGTTTCAAAGTTATCATAAGTATTATACTTATCGCTCAATTTATGTCTTCATAGGAGTGCTATATATAATAAGATGATGGGACACAATAGATTAAATTACTAGGTTACCATTCCATCAGAAAACAAAGACCTTGATACCTTCACATTTCCATTTTTATCAATTATAACATCAGTACTCTGATAGCCCCAATTGTTACATATCACTTTGCTGATGATTTAAAAAGGGGGGGAAAAAAGCCCTTGAAATAAAATCAGCTGAATATGTGCCCAAAAGGGGAAGATATTCTGCCTAAAAGGGGGAGATGCAATCTTGGAAGACTGTCTTCCTAAGCTGGCACCAAATTAGACTCAAATAATTCAGGAGGGCAAGCAAGATAGCAACAGGAAAGCAGGCCGAATTCCAGAAAAAAATAGAAAAGCAGATCCTAAGGACTTGTCAAGACGGTCCTGAAAACAAAAGATGTTGAGTTTTATTTTTTTTTTTTTTTACAGATAAGGATCCATTTCCACCTCTCCCAGTTTAATATGCTGGACATTTTATAAATATAGGTAACATACTGTATTTCCAATTCAGAAATACATCTGAAGTTTGTCTCAAAGCAAATGCTGAATACACAGGAGCAACAATGAGAAGAGAAACAATACCCAGCTTTCAGACTCCCTTTTCCAAGACTTTATTGAAAGGAGTAACAATGACTTTCTAAATAGCTATTTCTTCTCTATAGGCTACTGACTTCTTAGGCAAAATATAGAGAATATATTCACTACTCAAGCGTCACTTTTCCTAAAGAACAGGTGGTGTTCTGTTTATAATATATTCATTCTCGGGATAGTAATTTTTGGTTTTCAGAAAAAAAGCTCATATATTTTCAAATGTAATTTCATGGGATTGAAACTTTTAATCTCAAAGGTCAGATATCTCCTTTCTTAACTTTCCTATCTCACCTATCCAGGTTTTAAAGCCCATCTAGCCACCTGCTAATAACAATAAATAATCTAATCTTTCAGTAATCTTTGATAGGATTTTTTTAAAAAAGAGGAACAAAAATATTAGGTTCAAAATTGAAGTAATGATAGGCATCAAAACCTGGCCCAATTTACAAATTACTAATTAAGCCAAAAGAAATCAGATCGTCATTTAAAATTAACCTGAAAATGAAATTAGAAGCTTTAATTAGAAGTTTTTGTTTTGGTGTTCTTTTTGAGGCTTTTAAGTGGCAGAATTCTAGAGTCTGGTGTGTGTGGGGGCAGGGAGAAGAATACATGAATCCAAAAGCTCTTTTTGGGTAAGAAAACAGAGATGTGCGGGCAACTGTTTCCTATCACCTTAGTCCTTATGAAAAATAAAGTCATTGTCAGCCTAACATTAACAAACTAATATGTTCACCAGAGCCTAAAATCTTGGCATATTACTAACAAACTATTAGAAATTGGGTAGATTTTTTTTCTTGGGGTCAAGCGGAAAACAGACAACTTATTGTGGAGGAAAAATAAAACACCCCTCTAGTCTCCCTCTATGATAAAGCTTCCACATTGCACTATATAGAGAATGTACACTTTGCTATTAAATTCTCCTCAACTTTCTCTACTTCGTATCTCCATCATGAAACCTGAAAGAAAAAAAAAATCACCTCAAAGTACAAATAAAGCTCAAAAGAAATACAGTAGCAAAGCTGAGGAATGCCTAAAAAAAAAAAGTCTGGTCATTTCGTCTTCCTTCATGGAAGGGACACTGTTACAGATTCAGCAAGAGTGATAAAGATGGAGAATATTCACAACAACTAAGCTAAAAAAAAAAGTGAGAGCAAAGACAAGATAGAATGGTAGGCTTGGAAAAAATTTATTTCCTTTCCTAATAGTTTCAAAGCATTTGGGAGGTGGGAGACACATTGTCTTCCTGAATACTCCATGGGGCAAGGGGCAAGAAGAAAGGGCTGCCCCTTCATGATGCCTTCCCTAGAGTCTCAGCCGGATCTCTGATCTCCCAAGCTCTGCCCTGCCAAGCCCACCCAATCAAGCTTTCCCACTCCGCTTTCCTAGGCTGCGTTACTCTGAATCTGCACTTCGGCAGGTCAAGTAAATGGTTTGGGGGGAGGTTGATTTGTTTTAAAGTCAAAATCGTGGTCTCTTCGGAAAAAACCGCTTCTTCACACCAGAACTAAGGATTTCTCTGCTCTTTTCCCAGCCCACAATGCACAAAAACATCAAAACAAAAACCCGGCTACCAGCACATCACCCAGGGAGAAAAAGAAGGCTGAGGAGGAAGGGAGGTTATATCCTCAATGTCAGTCAGGTCTTTGTTTCCTTGCTCCTCCGGTATTGGCTTTGCAGAGGAACCCAACTCCCACGAATAAATATTCCAGGTCTAGCCAAACTACTTTTCTAAACCAGGATTTCGTTTGCATTCTTTCACATCGCACTTACTGCTGCAGCCTGTCTGCCCCATTGCTGCATTTATCTAAACTGAAAAGGAGCAAAACATAGGACCTCTTTGACGGGATGGGTATCTTTCAACTTTAAGTACACTCCTCCGCCTTAATGAATGACACACGCTTTTGGGGTGGGGGGGACGCGTCTTTCTCTTACAGGAGAAACACTTAACTCAATACTCCAAGCATGCAGAAAGACCCTAGGAAGATGACACAGGATGACTTCACGTAGCCTGACCTCGGCGCAGCGCCTTTATTTCAAAGGCCAGCGTCTACTGATGAACCAACAGACCCACCCCGTGGCAAACACGACCACCATAAACGTGGCGGGCGGGGGGTGGGAGGGCAGGCGGTGGGGACAGGAGCAACAGACTTTGCCAACGGACCGGCTGGAGGAGACAACTTTTGGGCACTGGACTGGAAAGGTCGGAACCGTGCCAAAACGGGTCCTGGCCAGGGGCGACTCTTGCCGCCGCGCGTCTGAGACTTGCCCGAGTGCGGGAGGCGCGGGAGCCGCGCGGGTGCATTGTCCTTCCACTCACGCCCCCGCGGCGCCGGGCGCAGGGGCCGCTCTCGCCCGGCTCCTGCCCTCCGCCACCGGGGTCGGGGTCGTAGGAGGTAAGGGGCGCGGAGACAAGGACGCGGCGGCCACACTCGCACAGGTTGCCCAGCGCAGGCTCAGGACCGACGGGGTTAAGCGTCCCTCAGGGCACCTCCCCGCCTCAGCCTCCACCACCCCCCGACCCCTCCACCAGCCCCAAACCCGGCGGCCCCGACCCCCGAAACCCCACCACCAGGAGCCCGGGCCCCTGCTCTCCACGAGCCCCCCGCAACAACCCAAGCGTCCAAGGCTTTTGTTTTGGCCGCGACGGAGAATAACGATCCCTGAGGAGGAGGTGCCGACTGCCTCCGCCGCCGCTGGCGGTGGCTCCTCCGCGAAGGGTTAAGGCAGAGCGGCAGGCAGCCGCGGCGGCTCATTCTCCATACTCGCCGCTGCCTTTCTCTCCCCTGCACCTGGCCCGGGGGAACGTCCGCCTCGGGGCTCACCTTAGACCTCGGTGCCGGGTTCCAGGATTGGGGCGGTGGATGCAGAGCCGGCGCCGGCGCCCGCGCGTCCCTCAGGTACACCGAGCGGCCGAGGACCGCTTGCGCGCGCTGGGGAGCAACCGCGAGCTTTCCGCGAGCGCCAGGACGCGCGGCCCCGGGGAGCGAGTGCGCGCGCACGCACGGCGCAGGCGCGCAGCGCACCCTGGGCCAAGCGCTCCCATTTTGAGCGTGTGGTGCCAGCCTTGGGGGCTTCGTAGTGGGCTGGTTTGCTCGAGCCGTGGAGAAGGTGAGGACTCCTTGAGCTGTTCGGTTCCTGCGTGCTTGTTTCCAGTTCTAGAAGCATCCAACTGAAAGGCATTTGGCCATTCCGGTGCTGTGCTCACCCTAACCTGGGATACTGTTAGGACAAGACCACCAAATCCTAACCTGAGGACTGGTGTAGACCTCAGGCCTTTTGGAGTGAGAAGTGGTCTGGGGGAGACGCCTGGGCCCAGGGTGAGCTGAGTACAGGTGGAGTCCGGCACCTGGGCTGCTGCAAAGCAGCTGGGAATGGGCGGCTCTCCCAGGAGCAGTTTATATCCTCACTGCCAAAACCTCAGTGAGCAGGTGAGGCTTGTGGTTCCAAGTGCCCTACCCTGTATCTTGATCCTTAGGAACCCCCGTTTCCATCCCCCTCCCGCCTCCACTTTCTTTCTCTCATAGGAACCGTTGGAAAGCTGGAAGAAATCCTTTAAGTCGAACCCAGAAGTTATTTGACATCCCCAAAACCATACAGAGTTTTAATGACAGTTTGGAGTCATTCAAAGTCCTGACAGTTTTTGCTGACCATTTTACCTGTTTTTCTCTTCCTGCTAGTCCTTCTTCTATCTAGACTTCATGAACATTATTTTGTGCCATTAGTGGCTCACCAGGCTTTTAATGTTGATCATGTTGCACAATGATGTGAATGAACTTAATACTATGGAACTACATGCTTATTTTTTAAAGATTTATTTCTCTAAAAGGGTTATAGAAAGAGAAAGGGTGGGACCAATCTTCCATCTGTTGATTCACTCCTCAAATGGCTACAAAGTTTGGAGGTAGGCCAGGCAGAAGCCAGGAGCCAGGAGCTTTACTCTGGTCTCCCACATGGGTGCAGGAACCCAAGGACTTGATGGGTCAAGTCCTCTGCTACTTTCCCAAGTGTATTAGGGAGCGCGATGGAAAGTGGAAAAATTGGCCATGGCAGCCTAACACTATGTCTTAGTGCCAGCCCCAGAACCACGCTTTAAAAAGATTACCATAGGAGCAGGGCCTCTAGAAGGAAAAGCACAACAAAGGTAAAGATGATACATTTTGTTATGTGTTTTTCAAGTTCTTTAGAAGACGCTTCATAAATTGATATTGAAGGGTATTCAGATTATAAGAAAGTGAGCAATGGAGCTATGTTGTACTTCCAGTTAAGCAGCTACCTTCAACGTGGACAATTAGCTGCTCCACTTCTAATCTAGCTCCCTGCTGACGCGCTTCGGAAAGCCTCAGAAGATGGCTCTGATACTTGGGTCCCTGACACCCACATGAAAGACGTTGGTGTTTACGCTTTTGACTTCCTCCTGACCTAACCCTGGCTCTTAGATCCATTTAGAGAGCAAACCAGCTGATGGAAAATTTTTCTTTCCCTCCCCAAATCTGGCTTTCAAAAGAGTCCTCTACTATCCAAAAACAAAATTGAATCATTTAAAAAAAAATCATGGAGGGGCTGGCTTGGTTGCTTAACATGCTAATCCTCTGCCTGTAGTACTGGCGTACCATGTGGGCACTGGTTCAAATCCTGGCTATTCAACTTCCAGCTTCCAGCTTATGTCCTGGGAGAAGAGCAGAGGATGGCTGAAGTCTTGAGACCCCTGCACCCACCTGGAAGACCTGGAAGACCTGGAAGAAGTTCCTGGCTCTTAAGTTTGGACCAACCAAACTTAGCCATTGTAGGCAATTGGGGAATGAATCAGCAGATGGACGGTCTCTCTCTCTCTCCTCTCTCCTCTTTTCTCTCACCTTCTGTCTCTAAATGCTGACTTTTTAAAGAAGATTTATTTATTTTTATTGCAAAGTCAGATATACAGAGAGGAGGAGAGACAGAGATGAAGATCTTCTGTCTGCTGATTCACTCCCCAAGCAGTCACTACTGCTGGAGATGCACCGATCCAAAGCCAGGAGCCAGGAGCTTCTTCCAGGTCTCCCACACAGGGGCAGGGTCCCAAGGCTTTGGGTCATCCTCAACTGCTTTCCTAGGCCTCAAGCAGAGAGCTGCATGGGAAGCAGGCCACCAGGTTTAGAACCAGTGCCCATATAGGATCCTGGCGCGTGCGAGGCGAGGACTTGAGCCACTAGGCTACTTACTGGGCTCTAAATGCTGACTTTCAAGTAAGATAAATCTTAAAAAGTGGAGACTCAGTGTCTTTGCTTTTGAATGTCTGTAAATGTTGCTTTGTGTTTGCAATGTCCCATTTGAGAGTACTGTGGAAGACCAGACTTTCAGCTGTGGAAATGTGCTTCTTAAATAAGTGGGAATGGTGTGACTCATTCTTCTGGTGAGAACAGTAGTCAGAGGTGCAAATGACAGGAGGTACAGAGAAGGCGCTGCTTGAAAGGAGAGACAGAAGGGACCCTCTTTTTCAGGGATAAAAATATTCAAGTACAGGGCCCAGCAGTGTGGCCTAGCCGCTAAAGTCCTCACCTTGAACTTGCCAGGATCCCATATGGGCGCCGGTTCTAATCCTGGCAGCTCCACTTCCTGTCCAGCTCCCTGCTTGTGGCCTGGGAAAACAGTTGAGGATGGCCCCAAAATTTGGGACCCTGTACCCATGTGGGATACCCAGAAGAGGTTCCTGGATCCTGGCTTCGGATCGGCACAGCACCGGCCGTTGCAGTCACTTGGGGAGTGAATCATCAGACAGATCTTCCTCTCTCTCTCTCCTCCTCTCTGTATATCTGACTTTCCAATAAAAATAAATAAATCTTTAAAAAAATATATTCAAGTCCAACAGGGATAAGTGAAGAGCCTCTCTATAATCCCATCTCTCTTTCCTTCCATGTTGTAACCTCCAATGGAAGGATTTAATGAGTAGGAACTTCACAGAAAGCACTGCACTCTTGACTTTGTTGAAACTGGTCTTTTTCTGGCTGAACCCGTTTGGAAGCTGTAAATGTTAACTGCTAATGCATGGTAATTTAGTATTGCATCTATGTGCTACCCCCCACACCCCCACCCTTGGCCGCCCTCTCAAGCCCCAAAGGCATTGTTTATTCATTTACACATAACCTGGTCATGTGGAAAAACCACTAGGCTGGAATTCAAGACAGCCTAGGTTCTAATTTCAGTTTAGCTACTTGCTGAGTCTTTGGTAAAGAAAGTAGTAGCCTTTATTTATTTATTTTAATTTGAGAAACACAAATGCTGCCTATCTGAAAACTAACAGAAAAAAAAAACAGGATTTGTACATTTGTTTAAGTTTTTCTTTTTTTCTTTCTTTTCTTTGATTGTTGTTTTGTTGGCTGGTGCCCATAAGAACTCTTATACATCATTAAGAAACTGAGAGGTTCTGTCCTGGAATTTTGAACTGTTTGGTGTTCTCCAGCCCATTTTAGCTTTATCATATCTGTCAGGACTGTGAACTTCCCAGTAATTAATTATCCTTGCATTTGCCAGTCTTCTTCATCAGATTTATTTTTTCTTTTTGTGTGCCCAACTGTACTCCTTATTAAAAGATGGGCATGTCAATTTATTTCATTAATTAGACTGGATTTTAAGCATTCCCAAATTTAGAGTGATTCTTAATGGGGCATACCAACTGCTGGTTCCCTGGTATATCTGCCTGAATTCGTGAGCCAAGACACTGAAATTCCTGTTGGAGCGTTTGTGTGTTTGGCAGTGTCCCTACATCCTTCCAGCTCCTTTGCAGGTGCTATTCTTTCAGTGAATCCAGTCTTGAATTCATCTCCTCCAACCTTCTTTTACCTGTTAGCTGGCCATTCCTAATATCTGGCAAAGTGGAATTTGCATTTCGGAGCTCTGGAATGACTAGACCAATATGACTGGGCATGCTCAGTAGGTATTGGCCACTTTGGAACACAAGATGACTAGAATAAAGGTTTGCAATGCTGCTTGCTTTTAGGATTGGATGTACATTAATCCTGGCATTGTATCGGATTTCTTGCAGTCCTTCCCATGCTCCTGACGCCCACATTTCTTCATTTGACCCTGCTGCCTAATTTGGAGCCAGCCTCCAGGATCTTCCAGCCAATCAAAAGACCACACATTGTTGCCTAAGAGACCCTGGATGCCAGCGACAGGATTTACAAATAGTGATTGGACTGCTTGGAAGCAGGGAGGGGCTGGAAGGAGTCACAGAGAAAGCTGTCCTAGTGCAGCTATGGCAACAACAGTGTCGGAGGCTTGAAGAGGAAGACGCTAAAAGAGGTGAGAGCAGTGGAGGGAGACTCCTTGGAGAGCTCGGGACCTCCCACAAACCTTGCCAGTGAGCATCGGTATGCTATTTTGCTTTCCCATTTCAGCTGCAGGTCAAGTATCAGATGCTTCATACTCATGAAATGAACAAACAACAAATAATTTCTGTGCCTATCAAGTACACATTCGTTGCAATTTATCTTGGTTCTTTGTTTTTAACTAATGCAATATGAAATGCATGTGTATCTAAACCTGCCCCTCATCCTGTTTCTTGGTAGAATTTGAAGTACTCTTGTCTGATGACGTTAATGTATACAGTGGGTAGACTGTGTTGGCAGAGAGACTAAGCCCTATTCAGCTCTGTAAACTCCAAATAAAAATCTGATAATCTCAAGTATTAACAAAGTGTCCGGTTCACAATGTTTTGAATTTCACTATGCATTTCTACTAGTTTTAATCCTTAGACTTCTCCCCCTCCACTGTTGTAGTCATTGCTTCCATTGATTTAGAAATATTTATGTGATTAGAATTCAGGTGAACACCAAAAAAACCACCTAAGCAAAGGAGCATCAGAGTTTTATGCCATGTTCCCAGAGTAGTCAGGAATTTAGTGTTTCTGGGCAGAGAGTAAATGAAAAGGGATGGGGGCAATGAGGCTGAAATAGTCAGTGATGAAATCAAAATGGA